CTTGATCAACTTTATAAGAGTGTTTGGTCAATATTTATGAAAGTATATTTTAAGTTCAAGGAGTGTGGAGGAGATCATTAAAATCATCAAATGATATCTTTTCTTCTATACTTTCTTTCTTTTATGCAATTAATGAAAATGAGTTTGCCTCACTAATTCATTATATTTATATCTGATTAAATTTATCTTGTTTTAGATTGATGGTGTAAATGGAATATTGAGTATGAATAAATTCTCTTAATAAAAAATTTAATGATATTTTTAATATATCAAGCCTTCATTTAATGCACATAGTTATCATATGTATAGTTAACATTAGGTGTAATGTCGATCCTAGAAATAAGAAAGTAGACACAATAAGGTATATTGGATTGGTATGATGCAAGCATAGACATAGTGCTTGACCTAGACCAATTTTATAGAGTAGAATTGAAATGAGGGTGTCTTAACAGTTCATGTTTTATTTACTCTTTAAAGATTTCCATAGGGTGATAGATTATGTGAGTTTAGAGTTCTATTGAAGCTGGAAGGGTTAAATATGTATTTTATCTCTTCACACCTGATTGAGCGATTGGTAATACATGTGCTCTAAATAACATTAATATAAAAGAGAAACAATATGAAATATATTATATTTGTAAGTAAACATTCTTCATAATTGATACTTTACTCCTTCACTATATTTCTTGATTGAGCACATATACTTATGCATATTAAGTGGGATTTTTATATATTTTATAATAAAAAAATTAAGCATTATTTAGGGATTGATAGAGCCCTATATTATTTTCATAATTCTAAGGGTTACTCCACCACTTCCATCAAATTTTGTGCGCCGTTGTCGAAGAAGAATTGGTTTTTTTTATAATTTTACTAAATTGTTTAAATAATTGCATAATTAGTCATACTATATATAATTTCTTATTCTTTTATTTTATTTTGGTAATTACATAATTGTGGTTGTATGGTTAGAATCCATAGAAGGGAAACATTACTATATTATCACTAAAAAATTAAGAGAACACTTTCTAAAATTAAAACCACCAAAAACATTTTGAGAATGGCTAACCTAATTAAGAATTAGATCATTTTATAACTGTTAAAGATTTTGCAAACTCTATGGAAGATAGAATTCATTAGGGCATAAATAGACATGCATTCAAGCTAATAATTTTTAATTAAAACCTATAATAATTTATAATGTATAAAATTCTTAGTTTAGAAGAACTTCCTTTGAAGATCATAATATTTATTTAGCAAATTTCTTAAAAATTTATGCATTAATTAAGTACAATGATGTTAGTGATATGCCAATAGAATTAAATTGTTTACATTTTCTCTAAGAGATAAGGAAAAAATATTGTTATATTCTTTACCCTAAGGCTCAATTACCGCATGAAATGAGTTGGCCCATTAATTTCATGGAAAGTATTTCTCACCTTCTAATGAAAGTGCTCTGATGGCACTAGAAAGTTCGTTAGGGATGTTAAGCCTTATAAAACTGGCCCAAGGCTAACAAAGAGAGAGGTGAATTGGATAACTTTAAAACCAAAGAGAAAACTCAAACCAAAATTACCACATAAATCAAGTGCGGAAGAAAATAATGCGGAAGCAATAATAAGAAAAGAATACACCGGATTTATAGTGGTTCGGTCAAACCTTGACCTACGTCCACTCCTTGGAGGCACCCTCTAAGTATTGCACTAAACTAAGTGTCTCTCATTTAGCCCCCACAGCTAGGCGGAGAAGCCCTTGCAAAATCACTTCCACCTTCCCCGGCGCGGCGGAGTCGCCGGGTCCTTTGACACCAAAGAGATCTTCTTCTTTGGTGAACTTCCCTTGAGACAAGCCTTGAATCTGACGATATTAAGGTGCAAGCCTGCCGGAGCAACCGTGTGGAATCCCCTCCACACTCCCTTGAGTCCCCCCTCACAGGATCTTCTCCCTCTCAGACTTCACCCGTTCCTCACTCCCTTTCAAGCTCTCACTTCAAGTCTCCACCACAAGAACAAAGCTACAATGGTTGCCAAAGACACTTACAAAGTGTCATGCCAAGCTCAAGTAGAAATGTTCAAAACGAGCTCATTAATGCAAGTTGCTGACATTATCGTCCGGGACGATAGGTATATCGTCCTGGCCGATCAGTACTAATTCAGCTCATCAGCTCGGGATGATTTAGGACGATCAGAAGAAAATTGGTTACATCATCCTGGCCGATAACATGATCGTCCAGGATGATTAGTTTAAAACTGATTTCAATTGTCCTGATCATCGCCCTGAATTCGAGCTGTCCAATGTAGATCGTCCAGGACATCATCCCGGCCGATCCTGCGATCATCCTGGACGATGTGATCATATCAATCAACCTATAATGCTTTCTAAACAGATCAATTTAGGCATAATTGTGCTAGATCGGCCAGGACGATATGAATATCGTCTAGGCCGATTTCCTAAAACAAATAATTCCTAAACTGATTATGGCAGTTGATTCTTTTTGAATTGAGATTATCATCCTGTCTGATACTAGTATCATCAAGGCCGATCCGCTAATGACGGTTGCCTTAATGAGGATGCCCTGATTAGGGTTTCTTCTTTTGAACAGATCATCCCGGATGATATAAATATCGTCCAGGACGATGTTACAAAAAAATAGAAATCCAATAGAGAATCTTCCAAGTTACAAATCTTCAGGAGCCACAACAAATATAATAGACTCAAGAAAGGAAAAAAAAGTACAAATTGATTCAGACCTAGTCTACCCAATCTTGAATTGATTCCAAATTGTAGTCCAATCATGTGAACCTGAAATGTCAGTACATAAGGCAGTCGTAGAGAAATAAGAATGTTTGTTATCTTCAAAATCATAAGCTATAGATCCGCAACAATCTCCCCCTTTTTGATGATGGCAAACATTTCAATTTGAATTTGCAAAAAAGAACATTTTCTCGTAATCTCCCCCTTACTAGAATAACACTTTTAAAAAAAATAGGTGAGATAAATTTTTTTGCTGTTTTAAATTTTTTGAAAAGAAAAAAAACAGATACAAATTCAACAGTACGTTCTCCCCCTTTGACATTATAAAAAAGAGAGAAGGCACAAAACCAATAAAAGACAAAAAAAATGTTCCCTGATCTAGTGAAAAAACAATTATTCTTAAAATGAAAAAGTTACCTCTTGGTTTTAATAAAAAACTTAGTAAAATTGTATTGATAATGCATAGCCCATAAAAGGTTAGAATTCAGAGTTTGATAATACCAACTCAAGTTCTTTTAAAGGCTCAAAATCTTTTTAATCCAATATCCAAATCAAGCAATAAATGGGAAAGAAACATTAATTTTTCAAAACTCCTTTCATAAAACATATCTAATAGAAGATCAATGCATGAATTGCTGAATCAAAAACCAAGATTTTCAAGCACAAGTTTTGAACATATCAAAGATTTACTTAGGCTTTTAGTAGTATAAGAAAAAATAAGCATATTTTTTTTGTGGGCTCATTTTATGCCCTTTATCACTTGAATGGCTCTTTGAGCTCCCTGATACAACTTGAAAGTGCTCTGATGGCACTAGAAAGTTTGTTAGGGATGTTAAGCCATATAGAACTAGCCCAAGATTAACAAAGAGAGATGTGAATTGGATAACTTTAAAACCAAAGAGAAAACTCAAACCAAAATCGCCATAGAAATCAAGTGCGGAAGAAAATAATGCTGAAGCAATAATAAGAAAAGAACACATCGGATTTATAGTGGTTCGATCAAACTTTGACCTACGTCCACTCCTTGGAGGCACCCTCCAAGTATTGCACTAATCCAAGTGTCTCTCCTTTAGCCCCCACAGCTAGGCGGAGAAGCCCTTACAAAATCACTTCCACCTTCCCCGGTGCGGCGGAGTCGCCAGGTCCTTTGATAGCAAAGAGATCTTCTTCTTTGGTGAACTTCCCTCGAGATAAACCTTGAATCCGACGGTATTAAGGTGCAAGCCTGCCGGAGAAACCGTGTAGAATCCCCTCCACACTCCCTTGAGTCCCCCCTCACAAGATCTTCTCCCTCTCAGACTTCACCCATTCCTCACTCCCTTTCAAGCTCTCTCTTCAAGTCTCCCCCATAAGAACAAAGCTACAATGGCTGCCAAAGACACTTACAAAGTGTCATTCCAAGCTTAAATAGAAAAGCTCAAAATGAGCTCAATAATGCAAGTTGCCGACATTATCATCCAGGACGATAGGTATATTGTCCTGGCCGATCAGTACAAATTCAGCTCATCAGCCCAGGATGATTTGGGATGATTAGAAAAAAATTAGTTACATCGTCCTGGCCGATAACATGATCGTCCAGGCCGATTAGTTTAAAATTGATTTCAATCGTCCCGATCATCGCCCTGAATTCGAGCTGTCCGATGTAGATCGTCCAGGACATTGTTCCGGCCGATCCTACGATCATCCCGAATGATGTGATCGTATCAATCAACTATTAATGCTTTCTAAAGATACCAGATCAATTTTGGCATAATTGTGTTAGATCGGCCAGGACGATATGAATATCGTCCTGGCCGATTTTCAAAAACAAAGAATTCCTAAACTGATTATGGCAGTTGATTCTTTCTGAATTGAGACTATCATCCGGGCCGATACTGGTATCGTCCAGGCCGATCCACTAATGACAGCTGCCTTAATGAGGATGCCCTAATTTGGGTTTCTACTTTTGAACAGATCATCCTGGACGATGTAAATATCATCTAGGATGATGTTACCAAAAAACATAAATCCAAAAGAGAATCTTCCAAGTTACAAATCATCAGGAGCCACAAAAAATACAATAGATTCAAGAAAGGAAAAAAAGTACAAACTGACTCAGACCTAGTCTATCCAATCTTTAGCTGATTCCAAATTGCAGTCCGATCATGTGAACCTGAAATTTCAGTACATAAAGCAGTCTTAGAGAAATAAGAATGTTTGCTATCATCAAAATCATAAGCTATAGATCTGCAACATCTAAGATTGTCAAACCTAGAAATTATATTACTTCTTTTATTTCGTTAGAAGGAGAATCTATTTATGAAGGTTAGGAGAGATTCAAGGAGATGATTAGATAGTGTCCTCACCATACCTTACCTGATTGGTTGATAATTCAATCTTTTTTTATAATGGATTGATAGGATCTGTTAGAGCCATAACTAATGTTATAGCTAAAGGCACTTTGATGTTAAAGCCTTTTGAGAAAGCTTTTGAATTAATTGATAGAATTATAACAAATAATTTTTAATGGCCTATTAATAGGATGAATCCTAAGAGAGTGGGAAGAGTATTTGAAAATGATTCTTTATATATTTTGTTGTAACCCATGACACTGAGTTTGAGATATTGATTATGACAAATAATGTCGTCTGAGCTACTATTCATTGCATATCTTTGATTTCTGATATTGTCTGTGAGTACTAACATTTAAGGAAGATCACAAGCTACTCAGAACAATAGGAAGACTCAAGCTTGGGTAGAATTGGAGTGTGAGTCTGTAACAACGTAATTTTTTCTATTTATTTGTATTTTTTCTTTTCTTAAGTCTGGCCACAAACTGCATGTAAAAATTGAGCAACCATGCACACATAGAAGAGGAGAGGGTTTTAAAAGAAAATTGAAGTTTTTTTTCTATTGATCGTACTGTACAACTTTATATTATAATGTACAATATGATCTATTTAAAACATATATCTGTGAATAAATTATATTATGTAAATTATGTCGTATTATATGATGTATTACTAAATCAAAAACCCTACCGGTCAGATTTATTTAAGTTTTATCAGTCGTTCGTACTGTATAAAGTAATTCATATGATACAATTTATTTTAAATACATACTTAAAATAACCCGTGATTAGTTGAATAAATCAAGGCTTAATCGCTGATTGGTCATCATACTGTATGAAAATATTCGTACTGTACGATGAACAGAGATGAGTTTTGATCATCCCGAAAATTATCCTGGACAATCTCTTATTTTTGTCTCATTGTAATATACGATGTATATCGTACCATACGATGAATAGAGGATGATCTTTATCGTTTCGGAGATCATCCTAGATGATCCCTTGATTTGTTCTAATCATACTATATGACGTTAATCGTACCCTATGATGTATAGAGATGAGTTATGATCATCCCAGATATCGGCCTGTACTAACAGAAGTGTTGAGAATCATACCATACAATTATATATCGTATTATATGATTATATTTGAACTGTTCGTAGACCTTCGTACTAGGATGAATCATGTTATACATATCATACTATACAATGTGAAATTGTACTGTACGATGTGAATTCGTATTGTATGATTGTAATGGCTACTTTGAAAATTTTAAGGATTTTGGAGCCTGTTTTATGTGCCAAAATTATAATTTTTGTGTGGTGTGACAGAAAAAGGGGAACATGATTAGAGAGGGAATACTTGGGAGAGAGGAATTGAGATGTTTTTGGGTTTTAGAGAGGTAGGAGAGGGTGAGCTTGGTGAGGGAGAAGTAGTGTGAGGGACATCACACAGTTGCTATGTTCTTGCTGCATCTTGCTCCTCTTGTGACCCTAGAAGAACTTGTGGGAGGCTCTCTAAGGGGGAGGCTCTTCTACATTCATGACCTCGAAGGTACTTTGCCTTCTCTAGGAGGTAGAAAATTGAGAAGGTACGCTGCCGTCACCAGGAGGGCGAGAAAAGCGCTTGGCACTCCGCCACACCGGGTTGGTGAAAGTAAGCCTTGTGAAGGCTTCTCCGCCACACCGAGGGGGCAAGAGGAGAACTATAATTTTGTAGTGAAAATCCCGGAGTGGAGAACTCCAGGGAGTGGACGTAGGTCAAGTGACCAAACCACTATAAAATTCTAGTGTTCTTTTTCCTTATCGCTTTTTACTTTTGCATGCACTTTATTTTAAGTATATTTCATTGGTGTTAATTATGGAAGAAAAAAGAATTTCATTTTTGTAATTAGAGTTCAATTAATTTCTTCCGCATTAGTTAATATTTTCTTGTTAAAAATTTATAAACACAAAAGATATTGGAACTCTTATTTACGATTTTATTTAGTGCAACAGATTTTTGCAATTCGCCCCACCTCTTGGTGATCTAGTAATTTCAATTGGTATCAAAGCTTGTTTTCAAAAATAGTGTTTTAGAAAACCTTAAAAAAACAATCATGTCGCATTTTGGAAATCGTAATACCGCAGAGTGTCATTCAATAACCCGTCCACCTCTTTTTGACAATATTCCATTTGATTTCTAGAAAATTAGAAAGTCCACTTTTTTACAGTCTATTGATTACAGCATGTGGATGTTAGTTCATGATGGTTATGTTGTACCTTTTAAAACGATGAATGGAGTGAAAACTCAAGTGCCTTTTAATGAATGGAGCAATGAGGATAGGGAATTAGCTCAATTGAATGCTAAGTGCTTAAATTGTTTCTTTTGTTCTTAAAGTGTGAGGATTATATGAGAGTTTCTACCTGTGCTACTGGTAAGGAGATTTGAGATAGACTGTGCATCACGTACGAAGAAACAAGTGAAGTAAAAAATTCTAGGCTTAACATTTTAATGCATGATTTTTAACTCTTCCGTATGAAACCTAGCGAAACAATATCTAACATGTACACTAGGTTCACCAAAATCATGACATCCTTGCATGCATTAGGTAGAGAAATTTCATATTATGAAAAAGTTAATAAAATTCTTAAATGCTTACCTAGTTCTTATGACGCAAAAATTACTGCCATCATTGAATCTAATGGCTTAAATGTTTATTCTATTAACAATTTGCTTGGTTCACTCATTGCATATGAGCAAGGAGTGAGTCAAAGGAAAAGTGATGCTGGTGAAAAGAAGGAGGAGTGAATGGTGACATTAAAAGCTAACAATTCAGAAAGTGAAAGATCTGCAGGGGAGGAAGAAGATGACATAGCCTTGATGACCCAACAGTTAAAGTACTTTTTTTTTTAAAAAAAATAAAGGTGTCATCAGAACAGCTGGAACAAAGGTAAGAGCATCAGGTTCAATAAAGTTTCATCTAATACAATATGTTTTGAGTGCAGGAAGCTAGGTTACCTTCGAGCTGATTGTCTCAACCTAAAGAGCCAACCAGCTAAGGGGAAAGGTAAGGACAAAGCCAAGTACAAGAAAGGGAAGATGAAGACACAAAAAGCTTTTTGGGCCGACTCTGCCTCAGAATCATCAGAAGAAGCAGAGGAGGAGCTAACGAATTTGTGTCTAATGGATAATGATAATCTAGATCAATCGGATCAAGATGAGGTATGTCAACTTTTATATGAAGAATTACAGCTTATTTCTGAGAATATCCATGACTCGTATAGGAAATTAAAAAAGATGCATGCTAGACTTAATATTGATTTTGGTACTTTATAAACTGAGCATGCTTGTTCAGTTAAAGAAAATTCTTATTTAGATAGAGATCATATGTTGTTTCTTAATGAGTATGATGCATTAAATAAGAAGCATATTGAATTAATTGATGCATATGAATCCTTGAAAAAATTCCACGTTGAATTAGAAACAAAGTACAAGAGGTTAAAAGAACTTGCATGGGAGTTAAAAGACACTGAAAATTATTTGGATATTCAAATTGCCAATATTAAACATGCAAATGATTGTTTCAAGTTAGCCTAAAGGCATTAAATGAAAATAAAAAACCACCCGAACTTTAAGAATACTGTGATCCATGAGAACAGCATGAATCATTCAAACCCCCAACACAACATGCGTCACACAACTTTAGGAAGAGGCATCACCACCCACATAGGTTAGTTAGTCCATTTTCCGGTGTTAGGTGCTTCTCTTATGGCATGCTAGGTCACATAGCCCACACATGCACGATTCATCATAGGATAAACCTAGTATGGAAACCAAAACTACATCCATCACAGCATAGCATGCATACATCTCATTCATACAAGCATAAGGAGGAACCCAAAACTCATTTGGGTTCCCAAATCTAACACTTGAATGAAATTGTAGGGATGCTCTCACAAAAGACCTAGTGAGAGCATGTGGTACTTAGATAATGGCTACTCGAGACACATAACTTGAGATATGAAGAAGTTCATCTTACTGAAGACCAGAACTGGAGGCAAAGTAACATTGGGAGACAACACTACTAGGAAACTGATAGGCTCAGGTATTTTTGGTAATACTAAGAATTTTTTAATTGAAAATATGATGGTTTGAAGCATAACTTACATAGCATTAGTCAATTGTGTGATAAAGGCTTTGATATTAAATTTCTTTCTGACAAATTTTGATTAGTTTAAATGACAAATTAGGTTTAGAAGGAAAATATATGAATAATATGTAGAGAGAGTTTCTATTTGCATGTTTTACATTCTTGCAACTTGTATTATTTTGTTGATTTCCAATATTATTATTTTATATATCTCCTAACACTTTTTGGAAGATTTATTTTTGCTCTAGTGTGTACTAACATTTCAGGAAAATCAACTCCAAGCGATGAAGACTTCAAATTATTCATTTATAAATTACAAGTTCTGAAATGAGAGGGAGTGATTGTAATTGAGTGAAAAATCACAACACACACTCTTGGGGAATAATTTTTGTGAACTAATCGTACGGGAGGAACCTGAGTCGTACAGGATGATCTTGTCAATTAACCCTCAGAAGAGTAATGGATCGAACGGGCAGGTAGAAAATTTTCTAAGTCCTAATAATCTACGACAAATTTAATATTCGTCCCGGGATGAACGTCTCTGGATTCTCACCTTGCACTGTTCATCCAAGACAAAAAATATGGTTCGTACCGGGACGAAACTCTCTGTATGAGATCGTATAGGACAAAATAAATTTTTTAGCCCTGGATGAAACTCTCTGTATGAGATCGTATAGGACAAAATTAATTTTTGTCCCTGGATGAAACTCTATGTATAAATTAATCCCAGGACGAAATCTGTTCGTCTCAGGACAAACAGAATCGACTTACCTCAGTTGGTTACGTACGGTAGAATTTTTGGAACCGACCTACGTAATAACCATTTAGTACCGGACGAACATAGTTTGTATGGGATGATGAGCGTGTACGAATATAGTTCATACCAATATAC